ACTTCTTGAGTTGGGTAGTCAAATGTCCTTCGAGTCGCTCCATTGGCTCCACAAGGTCATCGGAGGCAGGAATGTTGGTACGCTGCTCCAAGCTGGGAAGGATCATCTTGGAATAAGCCGGGTTTCGGGCGGCCATCTTGATGAACTCAGTTCGTAGACCCGTAACTCGAAGCCCATAACGGATGGCAATGATTGCCCAAACGTCGAATAGACTGGCTTCAGCTTCGTTCTTCTCTTGGAGTCGCTCCTCACGGAGAGAGATGGCTGCCTGATGGAATGCCATCCAATACCCAGAGGCATTGACGTAGTTAGCCTCGTACTCACTCACCGGGCGCATGGATTGGAACTTTTCCATGTCTTGGCGCGGTTGCCAGGCCCGGTGTTCGAACAATCCACCGTTGAATGCGGCTACAGCGTCCTTGTTCATAGGGGTAGCGGGTGAGCCCGAAGTCTTTGCCATCGCGGCAGCGACGGGCGATGGTGCCGTACGCACGCATCCATTTTGAGTCGATGCCAGCTTCCGAGATGCTTTTTCCCTTTGCTATCTCGCGCGCCCTGACGAGGAGGTCCTCTACAATGGCGATGTTTCCTTCGAATGAGGCCATGTTGATCGGTCTTGCGCTGAACTGAACGGCGCGTGGTCTTACTCGTTTGACCGCACTAGAAACTTGCCTACCGCCAGACTTCTGGGGACTCTCTTGGGAAAGAGAGAGGCATACCCAGCACCAACCAGTGTGCAGGATGTCGACCGCTTTGTACAGTAGGCGGAATGTACAGCGGCGACGGCGGCGGCGCTGCTGATCCAGATTCAGATCCAATCCGGGTCAATCGTAGGCATCGTGTTATTCCAGATCGCGACTGGCAATCCTCGCTATCCAATGAGATGTCGTTTCATCAGCATAAACATACGTCTACACAAGACAAAATCTGTGTTACAGGCAAATCGACTCTGCGCGGGACCTATATTACGCCTCTGATTTTTGTTTTCCGGAGCCTTCTCACTTTTGTCCTGCACACACCACTTGGAATTCCTGAACTTGAGTCACGCGTGTGTGGCACGCTTTTGCAACTTCAGCACCCTTTGATGCAGCATATATATATATTCGCAAAAGAGATGGCCTCATAGTGTACATCTATGAGGCAAATCCGGTTGTCGTATAGTGTCTATCAGCCCGGGCCTGGTCGAGAACAGCTTTTTTTGCAAACATATATAAATGAAACTAAACATTTAATTAAAAGCCATCTCGTACAATATTTCCTTGTTTTCGACAATAACATGTTGGAGAAGACTAGGATACCAACTTTGAATAGGCAGGAAGATTAAGAATGGCATGCAGATTTTTAAACTGGTGTTTCGGGTTTCCAAGTTACAGTATTGTACATGCGGTTTTCCAGACTTACCTCAAAACGACTGTTGTTTCTGGCACTAAGGCGCAAGCAAGTCGGCAAAGTCGTTGCCGAGAAAGCCCAAGTCAAGGAAAACATAAGCCGAAAAGTGCCCTCATACGGTATGAGAACCACGGTCCGATAGACACTCTAACACAACATTTTTGAAGAAACCTAAACGTCTCTGCGATAAGGGGAATGCCACAGCTACTTACAACATGGCGCCAGTGCTGTGCGACGGTGCGAACGTAGCGCCCGCGGACTGGTCTGGGGGACAAGAGTAAGGTGTGGCGGAGTAGCGCACGGCAGTTGCGGGGCGGACGCGATGTATCGAGAGACAGGGTTGACGGGATTGGGACGATGGGATTGGGTTGATGGGACTTGGTTGATGGGACTTGGTTGATGGGACTTGGTTGATGGAATCTGAGGTCGGGCCGGACGCGATGGGATGATGGGATTGGGTTGATGGGTTGATGGGATAGGGTTTTCATGGGATCTGAGGTTGCGGCCGTGTTTTGACCCAAAATTTCGCGTCCGCACCGCCTCCGTACTCCGCTGCACCGCGCGGCACTGCGCCTCTGTAAAGCCCGCGGCCCCCGTACACCCATCTCCTCCCGTTCGTCCTCCTCCCGTTCGTCTATCTCTCCCCATCGCCCGCGCCCCG